CCTATCCTTTTCATTTGTGTGAGTTTTATCTGGGCTTTGAGCAGACAGTGCAGTTCAGTACGTGCTATTCTGCAACAACCGTTTCTTCTATAAGACAAACGATGCAAGAGAAGACAAAGTTTCAGGGAAGCTCACAAAAAATAAAACCTAGCCGAGTCAAAAAAGGTTTGGTCCTCTAAGGTAAGTGGTTCTACAGAAAACAGGGATCAAATTCCTTCAGCTTACTGTTTTCCACAATATGAGCAGACCTACCACCACTATGATTTGCAGAATTATTAATGCGCTTATTAACCAGATTTTAAGAGGTTTCAAATGACAATGTAAGCACTAAATAAAATGAGCTTTCAGTACTCATTAAGACAACGTGGAAGATCAATCTAATTACAGGAATTGTAGTTGTTTGTTGAGAAGCTATTTATTCTGCAATACCCAATTGTTTACAAACAAGATACCTTGTTATTCCTCTAAGCAGGCAACAGTACTGAAAAACAACTATATAGTATGGCAAGACATCCTTTCCTCATGCTTAAAATCTGAAACAAGAGATCTGTTCAGAGAAAATCTCAGAGCAAATGCTCTTACAAATTTCAGCTTTGAATTAGATCGTAGATACTGATCACAAGACACCAACTAATCTGAATACTGCAGTATGAGCTAGCAAATTCAAATGGTGGCTCACTTCCAATAACACAGGGAGCAACTTTTCCATTGTGCAAGCAACTCTTTTTACCTCCACTGTACCTCCCTAGGAGAGAAAAGTAAAGGTATGCAAGCCTACGAATTTTATCATCATCAAGCCTCCTGGACAAATGCTTCCAAAAAATTTAACAAATTGCTTAAATAAGTACGCTAAACAATTTATACAGAATTTCAGTGTGACAGTAAAAACCACCAGAGACTTTTAAGTGATAATATTGCTCTTACGAGGGATACCTCAGAGCACCACAGTGCTCATATTTTAAAAAGCAAACAGGGACAAGCTAAGGGAGCTTTGAAATCACTCTAAGCAAGAGGGTAAGTCAACTTTGCCAGCTGACTTATCTAAAACAAACAATACACCTTAATAGTATTTAGAAAACTAACTTCAAGCCATACAAATGAAATACTTTAAAAATAAACATTACACTAAAAATGATCCTGAGAAACAACACAATATACTTTATGCTTACCTTTTACAAGCTGTGGCCATTCGGTGACATCAGGGTGATCACAATTTTGAGTCACTGATTAAAAACGAGTTGTCACACCAGTCCTGTATCACGCTGGGCTAAGCATAAGCTTAACAACTCTAAATAAGTAAAAATAATTTAGTTAAAAGTCCTTACAAATTATTTTCAGCCAGTCCACTAAAACCATAAAACAGAAGAAAAATATTGATGCTAAGCATTGTTTTATCTGTGAGATTAAGACCTACTGCACAAAAATTAGTTCATTTTTGAATGGCATTCTAAGACTTATAGAGTAATTCACTACAGTATACTCAACTGGTGAACTTGAAAATTCATCAACTTATTTTTAGCCTCTCTAAAAAAACAAAACCAAAATCCATCTCTTGGACCAGTGAAAATCACCAGACGTCAAGACAACAAGCATTCAAAGATTTGGAAACGTGCGTAAACATGAACTGTAATTTCTAACTACAATAAAATTCTGTTAGTTGTTTCCCTGCTACAACTCAATTAATACTGGTTCCTAATGAGGCTCTATGTTCCCAGGGGAGCAACATGTAACTTGCACTTTGCTGTGCACCTCTCCCCAAAATGAAGTGAGCTGAAGCTACATAAAGGTTTCAGAGGAGCAACCTTTGATATCTGTGGCCAATCTTTTAGGTTCTTTGCTCCATTTACACCACATGTACTCTCTCCTCTCCCTTAAATTTTCAAAAGTGTATTTTACCTGTCAATTGTTTCCTGTGATCTGGCTCCACCGGTATAAATTGAAGGGTTGGTCCTTTACTTTGTCACGCAGGTGGCAGCCAATGATCACTCAGCAATACTCGTGCCCAGAGCGCCCTGGGACCACCCCAGCTGATTACTTCCATGGCTGAAAAGGAACCAGTTAGTCTCTTACCTACTGCTATTATCTACTCTAAACTAAAGTTAACTGATAAAATACTTCCAAACATAACCCTCAACACTCAGTTCACCCCATCCTCTCTCCCACCCAAGCTCCTAGGTGCACTGGACAAAGACTGTAAAGAAAAAAGGCTTCTGATGGAGACTCGGATCACAAACAGCATTATTTACTTTCTGTTAATATAAAGTTTTGATTAAAATTGAAATGTTATAACTGTACTTAGTAAATAAAAAGTTATCTTACTTTCTCTAACAGCCAGCAGCTATGAAGACAGACCTCTGTACAGTATCTGAGAAGTTTATTCCTGTGGCTCTAACCCAGACGAAACCCCACAGCTGTAGGTTGCCGTGCAGCAGAAGCCTCATACAGAAGCAAGGTGCAGAAAGGCTAGCGAGCTATTGAGGGCACCCCTGCCGCTCTCTGCAACACCTGCAGTCATAACGATCTGGTGCAAATACTAAGAGCATATCAGACAGCTTTAATGTTTCAGTAAAGAAAGCTTTTGTGCTTCAGCCCAACCTGTGACAAGAGTCTTTCAGTAAGGTCTTAGGTTTGATGGGCAATCAAGCATTCTCAATGTTAATTTGTATCTGTTGACTTGTCAGAGATACGAAATCACTGATCAGTAAGCAAGGCCCATGATTTTCTAAAGTTTGTCAGAAAAGCTGCTGACTTTTGCCATTCTGCTACAATTTGCCGTTCTGCTACAAACTCTGCAAGGGAACAAAATCTGTATTAGTTTCAGAATGATGCTTATTAGTTTTATTGGGTACATTCCTTGAGGTAGGAAAAGTGCCATTTAATTATTTTAACATCAGTACTATTTGAGTCTTCTTATCTAAACGCAAGTGCAGTTGACATAAGGAAAGTAAAAAAAGAAGCAGGCTACCGAAAACCTGCAAAACAAAACAGAGGTTCTCTAGTACCTATGTTTTACATGTGTAAATTGTCAAAGTTTAACTGAGACAATGCCAGGAACATAGTACAGGAATAAAAGTCAGTCGGAAAGGTTCTTCATCTGTCAAGATTAAATGACAAACAGGGTGAAGATTTTCAAATTAATGCTTGCTGACCATCAGCTGTACAGAAAAGCAAACAGCAAAAACCAAGATGCTGATGCAAAACCAAGAAGCCTTAAAACACTGCTTATGGCATTCTGATTGTTTAAGACCTGACAATGTGCACTTTCAGGCAAGCCTTAGCTTTAATGAAACAGATGCCTGTTCTAAGGCAGTGCTTTCTTCTAAAGTTGAATCTAAATTCTTGCTGCTTTCTGAACTGATGTGAAATAGCTCTGTAAAAATGCATTTAGAAATTAAAACCCCTTCTAGCTCTTTGCCCAAGTAACTTTTAGTATGCTGGTCAAAGAGGACAGTGGTGTAATCTCTAATGCCTCGTTGGTTGGGACACCCGCATTCTGTCTGACTGCTGGAAGTACCAGCTCACGTTCTGGAGTGCAGCGAATCAATCACTCCCTACCTAGACTTGTGTCCTGTATCACGCAGACCATGGGCAAAAGCTAATTACGCTAGTCTTCCATTCAAACAGAAGCATGTGACAACAACAGGCTGACTGCAGCCTTAGTAAAACAGGGTTTTCCTGAGGCTGTTTCATATGGGAGAAGTCATGAACATGATTGTCAGCAGTGAAGGAACACATGAAGTATTGGTGCTGGATTAAAAAACACCAGGTTTTGGAATGTTAAAGAATACACACTGAGATGGCAGCTCCACAATCATGGTGAAGACAAGTTTGTGCCCAGGCCTGACACAGATCCAACTCTGTTAGTCAGATTTACCACACCACCGAACATAGTATCTACAGCAGCTCCATGAAGAGAGGCAGTATTCAAACCGGCATGAATCTCACTGAGCTGAAGTTAATCCATCTAAGTTTTGCAGTGAAATTTGTATCTACAAATTAAATTTATCGTGGATCAGAGCTTTGAATCAGGTAGTTGCAGCATTTCTAATCTGCTACAGGATACCTTAAGGCTAGATTTACTGTAGCGGGGTCTAAAAATTTCATGATACTTTTCAACAATCCAGATGCAAGAAATCTTAATAAATCATCTTCCCTTCTATCTCCTTCTTGTCCTACCTTCCCCACCTATCCTCGCTGCCACTCCTGTGAGACAGAATATGATTGGCAAGGATTTCCTAGCACAGATGAAAGAATTCATTTTTCTAAAACCTTACTCATTCATGCATCACCAGAGTACTGTCTGCTGGCAAAGAGTCCAGCATGTTGAAACATGGAGTGGGTGGTGAAGGAGACTGCCATCATAGATCCCTTATTCTGAACCTAGTTTGAACAAAGGACATTTTGACTGGTGTATCCAAACAAGGCAGAAAAAAACCCCCAACGGTAAGAGAGTCAAAGGACACTACTTGATCAGGAAAGGGAAACCACACTGATGAGTAGACTAACTTTTTGGAAGAGAGGATTATGAAGAATAGGAAACCGACCTAAACCAGCTGTTTTTCTGTCATAGGAATTCCTTTACAAAATACCTCTGGATATAACTTACTCTCTAGAAGGTAAGACCCTACAACCGCAGCCCCAGAACAAATATTTATTCTTAGAGCACAGTTACTCAAACAGATTTCTCGGGTCTTCACTGTCATGATTAGCAGGGCTTACAGCTTAGGCTTTCACAGACACAGAGCAGCTGAAGGTATCAAACGCAGTTTGTGCCTCTGAATAAGTCTGAGAAATCTGAGATGGCTGCTAGAGGCTCTTTGGGACTGGGCAGGCTCCAGCACAGACACATCTACATCTGCCTAGTGACTATTTACAAGACGTAGATTCAACCAGGACTGCAGCAACCCCTGTTATAATCAGCAAGACAATACACAGATTCATGCCTTCAACCCATATCTCTGAAGAACCCTGTACGGCATAGAGTAGCATTCATCAAGAGGGAACAGGATAAACAATGTTTATGCACTAGTTTGAGACTACACTCATTTCTCTAAGGTGAAAAAAGTGTGGATTTTCTGAAAAGAATGTTCCTACCAACTGAAAAAGAAGAAGAAAATAAATAATAAATCAGTGAAAGAATAAGAAGTTAGAAACCAAGTTCAGGTGCATAAAAAAGGGGCTAAAACCCAACTTTGTTGCATAGCCTGATGAGATCTCTTTGCATATTTCATTTAGTCTTGGAAGTCTGGAATCACAAACATGAGCCAAGAAGAGGGCCCCAGTTTCCAAACCCAGAACCTAAAGCCACACCATGGAGAACATAAGTACCTATCTGTCACCAATCAAATATAAAGCCAAAAAACTTCCAGCTACATATCATTTAATTGAAAGTTGTCACTTAACACGCATTTCCTATACCTATTACTTTCCCTATGTTATTCAATGTATAGGTGTTCAGCATAGCTATCTGACCCCTGACATCCAACATCTGAGGTCTAGGAAGATACTTGAGTGAAGGAACACTTTTCTTATTTAAACTATGACTTCTTATTGACCTTACTGACTGATGGGTGCCCTGCAAGGTGGCATTTTTAAGAATTTATGTTTCCTTTACAAAAGAATTTAAGTTTCCACCCAAGTAATCTTTGATCCAAACTTTTTTGATTCTTTTTGACAGATGACCTAATGAAAATGGGGTGATTCACCTGTACAAAAGAAGTACCATGACCCTCCTTACCTTCCAGTGCCAGAATCTGAATTGCTTAATTAAAAATAACCATCTCTCAAGATACAACTAAAGACAGCTTTTATATGTTTTCTGAAGAATCCCTCTGAAACTCCCAAGAATGAATGCTCTTCTCAAATTTGATACATTTCCAGAATAACTTTGAGTACCGTCATGAAACGGACAGTTGTCATCTATGCAGTAAAACGTGCCCTCAGAACTACTCTAGCTAGCTTACTACTTCAAAAAAGGAACTGCCAACTAATAGGCAAACTGGCCTTTTATAACTTGAGACTGATGCACCAAGTGGCCTGGAGGAAATTGTAGAACATTCACCAAATCCCTAAGTTCGATCTTAACTGTCACTTGCAGGAAAAAAAAAAAAAAAAAAAAAAATGTAACAGGCATGCTTGAGACTTTTCATTTCCTGATAAGGTTGGAAACATCAATTGCTTTTGTTGCCTGCATGCTGCTTCCAACACAGAAAACATGAAAAGGCATCAGATTCCAGAAGTTTTCTTCATGCAGCTAATAACAGGTCAAATTATCAATGATCCCAAAGTAAAATAAAACAGCCACTAATAAAACCTGATCACATAAATCCTAATGGAGCTGTAAAAAAAACAGTAATAAGGCATCTATACAATTTTTTTTTCCACTGCCCGGTAAACCAAACCATTCAACTAATAACAACAAATACAAAATCACATAGATAGAAGACCAAAAGAATTGGGGTTTATCCTGGAAAATGCCAACCTAAAGTCACTAAGGCAGTCACAACTGATGAGCACACACATGCTCCCAGTATTACAGCCAGAACACCAGATATGACTCTTGAAGGGTTCCTGGAAAGGTATCTGTTCATCTGCACAAAATACTTCAGACATGTTCAAAACTTGAGCCCAGTCCTCCAATTATTCAGTATTCTTCAAAAGTATTCCAGAAGTAGCAGAAAAGAGCTACAAAGACAGCATGAAGATAGGAGAAAGTGCCTTGTGATTAGATAATGGAAAGAGTTTGAAGTTAATCAAGCTAATCAATATGGACACCGGAAGAAACTAAGTCTTCTCACAGCACAGAAAGAATATATAAAAAAAGAACCTCCAGTTAAAAGAAAGCATATAAAACCCCCACATGACTAGAAACTGAAGGCTGACAAATTCAAATTAGAGTAGGAACACAACCATGCAGGATAGCAAGGACAATTAACACTTGAATACATTATTTGGGGTGGGGTTCTGAATTTGCTACTATCTTCAAATTAAAGCTGGTGCCACTCTGGAATTTACACTTCAGTAAAAACACAAGTTACTGAATTTAATAAAGGTAGAATTTGGTGCATCTCAATATACAGAGATCAACTGTAGATTTATATAAAAGCTTCATCCTATAACATCTGTATACTTACTTTGCCTTGATGTCAATATTCCACAAATCACATAGTAACAGAAAAAGGTCTAGTGTTTGCTCCCATTCCCTCCTCCCACCCCAAAGCTAAAGGCCTGTGCATTATTCTCATTTTCCACAACTGCCCCCACAACTCTGGACACTAGATTTTCCCTTCAACATTTGTTTTTGGTTCGATATTTCAGTAATATCATAGATGTACTTTATTCCCTTTTGTAAAAGAGGGAAAGACCTGAAAATATCTTTAGCTTCTGCATTTTTCACTTAGACCATAGCTGATTTTTCTTCCGCTACACACACTCCTTATGTTTTGCAGCAGAATCATTTCTCAGTTATGCCTGCTACATCAGGCTCCCTCCAAAATGATACACAGTTATGAATGGAAAGCCCCTCCTACATCAGGAGGTGAAATCCAATCATCTATTTAAATTTCTTTTAGTAGCTCTCCTTTTACCAGCTAGGTATCATGTTAAGTTATTTTCCAAACAGGTAAGTTTTACAGCTTCACTTCAGCGTTAACATTTAAACTTTTATTCCATCTGTCCTTTTGCTTATACTTTGTTATTTTGCTTTCTTTTGCCACCCATCTTCCACATAGCCTTCCCTGTAAAGTACCTTTCTGTTCACCAAGTTCTCCAGTGTCACCAGCATGTTTGTTGATATATAGTTCATATTAAGACCAAGCAATCACGCAATTCTGTAGCAAAATATTCAGCTTTTCTGATGTTCCTTTAGTATGCATTACTCAAGTTGTGGGGGATTAGAGGGGAATTCTTGTTCATCAATTTACAGAGCGCGTACCATTAAAGACACTGTGCATACATACAGTGGCAAGCAGTTAAACCTTCAGAAAAAAACAGCCAGCAAAAATAATGACAATAAAGAAATAACAGCTTAGGTTTGAAGAAGAGTCATCATATACACAACTGGTATTGAAACTGGAGAGCAAGAAGCAGGTGGGTGGTCCCAGTGGTGCTGCGGGTGCAAAAATGAATATACACTACCTGCCAGATGCCTGCTAGAGTAAAGGACCAATCTATACAATTCTCTCAGGAACATCTGGGTTGTGATAATGTAACATTATGGCTTTTTAAGAGATTTACAGTTTTTAATTAGCTCACACTCTATTTAAAGTTTCAGCTTAGAATTAATCATTTTAGCTCCTGTCTATAGCTTCCTACAAAACAGAACTTAAGGGGAAAAAAAAAAAGACACCCAACAACCCTTCTGCAAGGTTGAGATTTCAGAACTTTAAATATGTTCTTACGTTAAGTATCTTCAAAAGAAAGATCTAGACATAAACACACAGGGTATAAAACTTCCATCAGCAGTTACTGAGTTCTTCCTCACATTTTAAGTAGTCAAAAAAGAAAGTACACACATGGCTTAGAAGTAGTTGTTGAAGTCACTACATTCAATTCTATGTATGCATTAACAGACCTATTTAATATGGTAGAAAAATGAACTTAAACAATAATTGCTTTTCTGAATGCAGCGAAGCAAAAAGATTCAACAATTCTCTATGTACCAAGTTGCAGAACTACAGAACTTAAGAGATAGTACAGAGTGGTGCAATTATTCCATACTACCAGGTATCTCCACTGGACTACACCAGAATAAAGCTAGAAAAATGGAAATTAAAATAACTAGAAGTTAACTTTTCAACCTTGCTGTAACACATGTACGTATTTTTAAGCTGGCTGGACATTTAAGAGCATAGACAAAAAGATACTATGTGCCATAGGCTCATGTTAGCACTGCTACTGAAGGTTACATTTCTGTATTTCCCAACATTCCAATTTGCAAATTTGACTTACACTGACATCTGCTTAAGTTTTCTAGTAGTTCTGAACTTACTTTGCAAGTCATACCTAAAAACTGTACAAGCCTTACTACAAATACGCTCAGCAGCAAGAAAAAAATCCAAACAACTTTCAGAAACAGTACTGATTCTTATCCAATCCATGGAGAAATAGATAGATGGTAGCAGCATGAAGCTGAGCTTGTAAAACAAATTAAAAGGGAATGCATAAATGTTCTATCATCAGTATTTATTTTCTCTAAGAAAAACTAAGTAACTCAGTTTTCTAGAGAACTATGCTGAAGTAATAGACATCACAGTCAAATGGGAAAAATGAATGCGTGTGTTTCTTCCTGAATTTATTTTCAACTTTTTTTTTTTAAATCAGGGAACAAAAATATAAATATTTGTTATTATGACTATTAGCATACACACAATATAAGTGAAAACATAAACATACCATATCTTTCCAGAGCTGCAGAAACTTGTTCTTTCAAATTCTAAAGTGGACTTCTACAGTTCTTGTACCTATAATGCAAAACACTACATTTCAGTTTTCGCACTATGCTCCATACCAATCTGAAACTCAGTACAACTTCAGAACAATACATTCAAGAATGGCCATTCAGTTAGTCACAATTTTGCAACTAAAGGAAACATATAATTAGAATCATAGAATACAATCTCTCAAGTTGGAAGGGACCCATAAGGATCACAGAGTCCAACTCCCTGCTCCTCACAGGACTACCTAAAACTAAATATAGGACTTCCCAAGCTAAATCATACTTCCCATAAAAGCCACAATAGAAAATACTTCATATGTTAGGGAAACTACAAATGCAGAAAATACCCACACACAGTGTTCCCTATTCTTTCCTCTCTAGTGATGCAATAGAGTTTTACAATTCCATTTATCCAGTTCATTACAAATATCCATTTCCCTATTCTGGAAGATTCTGGCAAAGTTTCTCCTTCTCCCCCTCCTTTTTTTTTTTTTTTTTTTTAAGAATTGGTATTTATATCAAGAAAAAAAAAAAGACACTCAAAAGAAGTGACAAATAGAATCACATCTTTGTCCTGGCTGCACAAAACTGCCGGAGTTTGATAAGCTTTTCTATAAATTGTTCATTTTCAGGGAAGCCATAATTAACAAGGGATGCATGACTAAAACATACTCCAAAAATTGTCAACAAACACCTAAAAGCACAACCAATTTCAGTGGAAAAAGTGACAGAAACAGGCATATAACTAAAGAAATCTAGTAATTACTTTCCAAAAAGTTACTCATTTGGCAGAGAGTATCACATTTTCAGTACTCTGAAGATTTAATTCTTAATTTCTTGGTTCTAAAACTCTATTAAGAGCAAACAAATCCAATGCAGCTGATTTAGGCTGATCTCCAACATAGATCTGAGTTCCCATGAAGGAAACCCTGATCTGGTTACCTTAAGAATACATTCAGGTTTGTCTTAAAAGATGTCAAACCAGAGAGAACCCATCCAGTACCAAAGGCCCAATTCTTTATCAGGGATGTGAAATAGGGTGATCCTGGACTGACACAGTCATGCCAGTAAAGCTCTACAGCACAACCAGTTTGTACACAATTTTTTGTATTTAAAGAAAAAAGTTAAATAGGGCACCCTACCTGTTTCATGAAACAAGATTGCTATTTCAACAAACAATTATGATAATTATATGGATTTACGTACAATTAGGATTAATGAGCTAATGTTATGCAACTGTGTCAATAAAACTTTACTACCATTCAGAAGAAAAAAATGAATAAATTTATCTGAACAGTATGAGACTGTAACCGATGATTTTCCTGTTTGGAAGTAGCACTTCCACTCCATACCAACAGCAGAAATCCAGAATATCTATCATATATTCTATTGAAGACTAATTCTTCATTCACTGTGACGCTATTAGGCAAACTCAGTTAAAAGTATTCTGACAAATGTGACCAATGTTTTCACACCTTATATCACAGGACTTCCAGCTTAAATGCCAATGTATGTATTTGTTCATGTACACACACACAGCAATGCCATCTATATAAAATTCACTCACTCTCCTCTAAGGCACAAAAGCACCAACCTTCGGTGTGCACAGAGTATGAGCAGAGCACAAAGTACAGCATGAAAAAGTATCACAAACACATCTATCAGGGATCTTATGATTATTGCCCAGCAATAGGAGAAAAGAAAACAAAGGTTCCCAACACAACTGAGGCTATGTAGTTTAGGTCAGTACAATTTACAGAAGAAACAAGACCACAGTGGAGGAGATGGAGACAGGAGATTTGGTTAAAAACAAAAAGACAAACCGGACTTCAAGGCACATTGAATGATATTAACAAAGACGGTAAGCTACTGAATTAACCAAACTGTAGCATACAAAACTACAAAATATTTAAGAAATGAATTATAAATTATGAAAAATACTTCGCAACTCATGTCTGGCCTGATGAAAGGCATCATGAAGTCGCCTCTATCAGGTGCTTAAACAACATTTTCCACTTTTTATTTTTGTAATAACTGTCACAAGACAGGAGTAGAAGAGGAAGTTCTGAGCGCACTACCCTAAAGAAAATAGCAGGTATTTTACCTCATATTATAGATTGTCTCAGACAAATATATAAGTTCAAATAAGAATCATTTTCTTCCACGACTGACATTCTTAATATAACAATGTGAGCTAAATAAAAAACAAGTATTCACAAACACGCTTCTTTCAATAAGATATTCAGGTCATAGGAACCGTGCAAATGGAGTATTTATCACCACTTTACAATGTAAAGGGCTCAACCTTTGCAACCAAGAAATACCAGTATTTCACAGAAGTGATGGCAGCTCTTAAGAGAGTGTGCATGTCCTTGAACTCCCATGGGACTTGCAGGTTGTATGGACTGTAAGTATGTCTTTCTATGGTCCACAACAGCCAAGTTTTGCTACAATAGCTGAAATACATCGAGGTGCTGCTACTGCAATCAATGTATGCTAGTATACCTCGGGCTTTCTAAAAATAAAATAGGGTATATACACACACTAAACCACAATATTAATCACCAAGGCTTTGGACATGAGATTTTGCTATGAAATAAAAAGTAATCATTATCTGAATATGGCTATACAAATAAGAAAAATGAAAACATCATATTGGAAATAGAAATTTTGAAGTAGTGATAGACCTCTTCTGTATTATCTAGCTTTGTAAGAGTTTTTGATACCTTTTAAGACAATGAAACATACCATACTGCAAAATGAAAAGATTTTAAGCATTAAAGTAACCAGCTCAAACACAGGACTAACCATAACGCAAAAGAAAAACTCGTCTACAACTATGGTAGCATTTCCTCAAGTATTTTGACCTGCAGCCCATTTTAGAAGTTCAGCTCCTTTAAGAGCCGCTCCACCACCCTCTGCAGCTGCTCCAACCTGGGTCCCACAGAGCATACCAGAGCAGGAGTACACAAGTAGTGCCAGAGCCTGGCTGCCTGGACAAGTCTGGCATCTCTCAGCACTGCGCAAGCTTGGCAACATGTTAGAGAGAGCTCTTGTGCCTCCCCTGCACGCAGCTTCTAAAGGTACAGGAGAGGGGGTGTGTATTTGTCATTCTAATCTCATTTCACCAATTTCTTTGGTGCAATGATTACCAAGGAAGTATCAACAAGTCCAAAGAGGGGTCCACCAAAGGGAGTAAGAGCATGGTCTCCTCTATGAAGGAGAGATGAAGAACTAGCTTCACCCCTACAACTCTAGCGCGGTCAAGACAGCAGAAGTCCTGCCACAGTCCTCACAGCACACCAGCGTGAAAAGCAAACCATGCAGACTAATCGCTGCCAGACAATTATGCAACAACCACCAAACCCAAATATGGCTTCCATGATTTTCTGCTTGTGATCCCACCAGTTGATGCAAGGCCCAACAAGACCAATATTCCATTGGGTTTCAAACTGAGATACTGTACCTTACAGGTTTTGAGACACTTAAATTTTTTGTTATTTAGTTACTTAGGCCACAGCTTTGAAATTACGTCATACCAGGACCGAACATGAAAAAAGTAGCACCCTCCATATGAAGCAGCCAACTGGTACATCAATTCAAGTTTGTGCTAAAACATCACCACTGTAATTCACCTCTGGTACAGTCCCACTGTTGACATACTACACAAGATAAGCATGGTTCTCAAATGTAAAGTATGTGAACATAGAGCATGTTTTTAAAGCTATTTGGATGGTTGCAAACAGTAAGGCTTTTTGATGAAAAGTCTTGAACAGCTACATAATGTGAATATCCTTTTCAAGCCACCAGATCACAAAAAGGAAAAAAAAAGAGTTCAAACCTCTGCTTCGCTAACTAGAAGTTTCTCTTAAAACACCTATACCTGCATTCTAAGGAAATGCACGTTGCTTCAAAAGAAGCATGTCACCCCTCTTACCTAAGACAGTGAAGTGAGGGTCCAGAGGGAAGCCACCCATTTAGTTCCACTCAGCTGAACAACTGCAGCTTCTCCTAATTCTTCACCACCCTGTAAAACATGGGTAAAGAACCATGCAGGATGGTAACGGAAAGGGTGTCGGTAAAGACTGAATTTCGCCCCCTGTCGGTAAAGACTGACTTCCGCCCCCTTCCTCCATTCAGCAGTTTGCATAATACAGGGAAGCAGGCTCAACCTATTAAAAGTAAGAAGTAGTTAATGCTTCCTTTAAGAGATTCATTCATAAGAGTATTTGTGAGACAGAACACTGTGGTAATATTTAATTTATAATGTAATTTTGCAACCAGTAAGTTATTTTGTCATCAATAAGTTCTGTCACTCCTAGCCACAAGAAGGTGGAACTATTCAAAAATAGCAATTTAAAGTGCTATTGGTTCACATGTTACATTGCCAAGCATGAATCCTGGATCTCAACATGATTTGATCTTTTTTATATTTCTCCTATGCAGTTATTTTCCTGAAGAAATGTCTCGCCAGCTGGTATAGCTACTGAAGCGTTGCTTTGTTACAAAATATTAACTTTACGCTGTATTTGCTGACTTTCTGCTAACCAACGAGATACGTTACACACATAACTATTCACATGAACTAGCCTTTTTCCAAACTTTCATTCATGGGCCATACAGCCTTAAGAGGCTGTGAGGGACTGCCCGTAAATACAGGAAGTTAATGCAGTAAATGTTAAAGTCAATGTGTTTAAGGTGACAAAAGTAACTTCAAACATGTGATTTGCTCATTGCTGTTGTCTCTGGGAACCAACTATTTAGCAAAGCTTACAACACTCTCCTGGGAGCAGGGGGAGGAGGAGGAGATTATTTTTTAAAAAAGTAAATATCATATTCTGAACTATTCGTTACAGACCCTGATAGCAAATGTATTACCCCTCTCCTTCCATGTACAAATCACAACTTGATTAATGACAGAAAACCTTTCAACACTGCTTCTCTATAAAACTCATAGCTACCTTAAATATACTGGATAGTTCAGAAAAAGTGTAAAACATACCTCCTTTGTTTAAAAATCAATATTAATTCATTAACTAAAGTGAAGTGAAGACCTGGCCCACAGTACCAGAAATGAAGACTGACACTGGAAATGAGATATATGCCTACATACTTTAGGAATTCTCTCCTCTTGTCCCTCAATTGCATGTTCTATTTATAAGAATTAGCGGCTTTTACCTTCCAGTGTATGAATACACTGGTGTGGGGAGGGAGAAAGACATTTCCTGCTTTTAAAAAAAGATCAATTCTCTCTGGACATTCACTAAGTAAACTGAAACCAAAAGTAGCAGAGGCAAAAAAAAAAAAAAAAAATCTGTCTTGCATAGCAAAAACTAAGATGATGCATATTTACAAAAATGTAAACACTAAATCTGTGCCATGATAAGTGTCATATCATGTACTACACTAATTATTGTTTATACAAAGTGTTATATGCTTAAACATGTTCACAATTAAACATGTTTATGACTATTAAAACTTGACTCAAAGATATTTCCACCCCCAATTATGTATTTGGTTAAGTAGAACACCTGTGAATTCATAGAGAACTAATGAAAAACATGTCAACAAAGCACATATTCATAACAAAACAAGCATGATTTTACACTGGGGTACATGTCATTTCATATTTCTAAAGCAGGTTTTCTCCTACAAAAAACGAAGTCAAATGAAAATAAAGAGCACCTGTTTTATTTTCTCAAACTGACTAGAACAGAGACAAAGTCAAGGTGCTCTAACAAGGACTCTAAGAAGCTGAGAACATCCTTAGATATATTTAACAAATACACAGTTTTAACTTCCATTCACAAATGAATCATCACTTGCATATGTCTTTAAGCAGCAGCAGTAATTAACAAAATAGACTAAAAGTTTTGTTTGCTATTAAAAAAAAGGATCAAACCTACACAGTGTTAAGAGTTCTGAAGAGGACCTGGACTGAGAAATCTAGGCTTTGAAACTCACTGCTGTGAAAAAGTTAAACACCTCTGCTTTTTCAAGCCTGCCTTTCCTTCAGTAACTTTTTTTTTTAAATACAGTCACACAATCATACCCCTAAAACCCCCAAACAAATCAAACCATTTATTTTGCCATCTAGCTTGGTGCTTTTATTTCTAAGTTCTTGGGAGATACTTAGGATACTCCAGTGAGGAAAAATAGCAAACAGCTCTGGTAAACAGAAAAATAACTTGCTAATTCCAGTATGAAAGATGCTACATTAAATAGCAGACATTTAGAGTGGAATAGAAGGTATTAATAAAAAAAAAAAAGAGAGATGAAGTATCTGTAATATTGCACAGAAATAATTTCAATTAAAGGTATTTTTCAGCCCTGTAAACCTAAATAGTGGTCTAGCTTTTCTTCCAAGGTTTCTCTGTATTGAATTGACAGAACATTACTGTTACAAAGACAAGTCATAAGCACTGCAAACTGCATTTGTTTTAAAAGACAAATTACATGAGGAAAACTATCGAATATCCATAGCAATTTGATAATGCACATATTTTCAATTCAACACACTCAAACTCTGAGTTTCACAGCATTTTCAAATTAAAAAAAACCAAACACCAAGTACCTTTAAGTGTTTCCAAGATGAAAGGGCACAGAGTATTTAGTACCACCACCCAAAGCAAGCAGTTTGTGAAAACTGTGAAGTGCATTTTCCAGCAGTTTTCATACTTATCAAGAGGTACCTCTCACCATCTCCATTATTCTCCCACCCAGTCATAGATATCTAACAATGCAGTTAAACTTAGAGTATAGCTTCTCCCTTAGCACGGAATCTCTCTCCAGCTGGATGCTATTTGCATGAATTAGGAACTTAATCTTATCTTTTAGACCTCTCCCTTTGAAACCAGTCAAAAAAAACCAACCAAACCTGACAATACAATCACATAGGTGTTACTTCCTTAGGAAATCAAAGCTAAAATCTGATACAATTTCCCACTGAGGAACTTTTTGGTAGACATGCAAGAGGCGTGGTAAAACTAATCCGAGCAGCTGATTCGCACAGAGCCTCAGGTTTGCACAGACTCCTACTGAGGTAGGGAAGTTTCCATACAGACACAGAGGGACCATCCTTGAAGCGATGTGCGAACGCAGGCTTTGTCTCAGAATTAGAACATCGCTTACACAGAAGGAAACATAAACAAGTGTTTCCATTAACTGGAGGAAAAAAAGCATAACTACAAGTCTACAGATTACAGGCTCTTGCTGCTTAAAGGAGAGTTGTGGAACATGTTTTGTTTCCTAAGCAGTAGCAACTTCTGAATGACCATGTCACACCATCTTAGACATCCGACTTGCAAACCGACTGTGAACCAAAACAACCCACAGAGTTCCTTTAGAAGAAATACTGCAGGTACACTGAAACACCGACGCCCAGCACGTCCCACGGTCAGGAGTGACAGACCATATTTAACAGCAAGGCAGCCCGTTCACAGGTTAGCAGGTCCAACTCTTCACGCCGGATAGGAGGCAACACGAGCAAGTGCACGTACCTACTTTGTTAAGCAGGCCCTGCAGACTAGTTACGCACCCCCGCAGCACTCCACACGCCCCTGCCTCCCCAGCTGCCACGGCCGGCCCTGCCGAAGGCACCCAGGCCCTCCATGCCCGCAGCAGCCCCCCGGTCCGCCCCCCGCCGCTCGGCCGGGCCGGGAAACCGAGGCAGGGGCAGGCTGGGTTCACCCAAGGTCGCCCAGCAAGCCCGGTCTCCCCGGGGGCGGGCTGAAGCCCGGAGCCACCCGCCCGCCCGGCCTTCCCGCTCCCGGGGAGGGACGGGGCGGCCCCGCACCCATGTGCCTCACGGGGAGGAGGGAGAGGACCACGGAGGCCACGCACCCCCGCCGCCGGCGCCTCCCGCCCTCCTTCCCACCCGCGGTGGGGGATCTCCCCGGCGGAGGGAAGCGGGCAGGGCCGCCTCCCGGCCCCCTCCCGGAGCCACCCGCCCGCCCGGCCTTCCCGCTCCCGGGGAGGGACGGGGCGGCCCCGCACCCATGTGCCTCACGGGGAGGAGGGAGAGGACCACGGAGGCCACGCACCCCCGCCGCCGGCGCCTCCCGCCCTCCTTCCCACCCGCGGTGGGGGATCTCCCCGGCGGAGGGAAGCGGGCAGGGCCGCCTCCCGGCCCCCTCCCCTTCAGGACCGGCGTCAGACGGGCGCCATCCCCCCTCCCGGCCCTCCCCCGGGCCGGGCGCTGCGCAGCG